TAATTAAAACAATATAAATAATAATAATAATAGTGCAAACTTTCAAATGTTTCGTATTGTCATAAGTAATTGACGTATCAGAAGCAATGGACAGACACATTCTCAGCCAACTTGGCAACTCTGGTTGACTTATAACACGATTGAGTGGGTCTTTTAACAGTGGACTTTTAAGGCTATTTATGACCATTTGAGATATGCAGAGTAACAGAGAAATGGTTTCAATATAGTGAAAGTGTATCCACGGTATGGAGAACTATGAGATAAAGACCATGATTGGCGAAGGCACCTACGGTGTTGTCTACAAGGCGCTGAATCGCTCGACCGGCAAGTTCGTGGCCTTGAAGAGCGTGAAACGCATTCCTGGGGTGGAGGGCTTGCCGTCGACTACCATCAGGGAGATATCGCTGCTGCGGGAGCTGAAGCATCCCAACATAGTCACGCTGCTGGACGTCGTGATCGTGGACAGCAGCATATGCCTGATACTCGAGTACCATTCCATGAGCCTGCGGCAGTACCTCGAATCGCTGCCAGCCAGCCAACTGATGGACCTTAAGCTGGTCGGCAGCTTCCTCTTCCAGATGACCAGCGCCATCCTTTACTGCCATCGGCGGCGCGTGATGCATCGGGACCTGACGCCGCAGAATATGCTGATCGATGGAGTGGGCCGCATCAAGCTGGCCGACTTTGGCCTGGGCTGCTGTTTCCAGCTGCCCGTGCGCGCGCTCACCCACGAGGTGGTCACGCTCTGGTACCGGGCGCCCGAGATCCTCATGGGCTGCCCGAGGTACGCCTGCCCCGTGGACATCTGGTCCATTGGCTGCATCTTCTTTGAGATGATCACGAAGCGGCCCCTCTTTCGCGGCGACTCGGAGATAGATCAACTATTCTGCATATTCCGCTTGCTGGGCACCCCCAACGAGCAGTCCTGGCCGGGCGTATCCACACTGCCCGACTATAAGAGCACCTTTCCCAAGTGGAAAAGCAATCAGTTGAGCCAGCTGATGGCAGACCTGGACATCTACAATTCCGCTGTCGACCTGTTGGCCAAGATAATCGTCTATCAGCCAGCGAAGCGCTTGTCCGCTGAGCAGATCCTAGAGCATGAGTACTTCAAGGAGACGCCAGCGCCTTACACTCCCTGACTGTCAATAAAAGTTTTTAATGTATTCGTGTGAGATGCATCTTTTTGTTAAAGCGCACGTGCTAATCGGCTTTATTAACGGATCTTTGTGCACGCGTGTAAAATTAATTGAATTATTTTACGCTACGCTTGAAGCTCATCACATCACATCACATCGCATCACAAAAGCGAGTCGAAGTTAACAGGCGAGACTTTTGCTCGAGTGCCCGAAGGGTCACAGAACCTTCGAGTCTGTGATCCGTGCACAGTGGGTCGAGATCCTGCTTGGACAGGCAATTAATCTCTTCTCTTCATTAAATATTATTTTTTAATTTTCCTTAAGGTATTTACCGCTCTTGGCCTACGCTTCTTTTTTTTCACTGAGTGATTGGCAGTCGGGCGTTAAGAAAAACAAACAAACAAAGCGAATTCATGGAATGGGAATTATAATTGCCCTGAAGCCATGTAGCACAGTGTATAGAGTGTGAGATAAAGACTGAAAAATACCGTAAATAAAAAATTGATCGCCAGAAATTAATTTTTTTCTTTTTTTAATGTTTTTAAATCATTTTAAATAATTAGCATATATAATATTGTGTTAA